GGGCGTCGGCGGGGGGCGATGCCCTCCTGCTGTCACGCACGAGGCTGCCGCCTCCTCGGGAAGGAGGCCCCGGTCTGCTGTGCAGCTCTTGGCTTTCCTGTGGCGGTGCCCCCTGCTGCAGCCCCTCGGGCAGGGCGGGAAGGCATTTCCCTGTCACGAGTCCTTCTGATGCGGTCGGAGCCACCTGGTTGCGGCGCTGGCAGCAGGACAGCGACAGACGCACGGGAGCTCGCGCTGGCATCTCGTGCGCCCACGGGACTGCGCAGCCGACCAGGGCATTGCCACTCAACTACCGCGGGTTTTCCTCCAGTCCTTGTTTTTCTATCAGTACATACGTAACACCAGACATGACATCTATATCTGCCATAAAAAAGTTGCTACAAGGAAAAGCAAGTCTGTAACTTGCTTCTGAAATTATCTCTATTGACAACCACTCAACCACTTTCTCCCTGGCCACAGAGTCATGCCAGGCAGCTACATTAACAGTATTCTAAGAGAAATCAAAGCAGTGGAGTTACTGGCCATTCTCCTCTCCTCACTAAAGGATTAGTTACATGTTTTAAAGGAGGGTTGAACACTGCCCCTGCTGCCATGCAAGCCCATAAGGGGTGGAGACGAGGAGGAGCAGCCCCAGGAGGAGGTGACGGGCTGCACCAGAACCGGCCTTGGTACCACACTGGAGCGTGCAGCGCGTTAGCGCTGTCTGCAGACCAGCGGGATTCTGCAAATTCAGATTCCCGGGCACAGAAGCGAGACTATGCTTTATATTCCAAACTGAGGCAAAAGGGACTCTCAGACATTGTAGAAAAATCTATCCCTTTTTCACATTCTCGTCTAGTTTGTTAGCTTTCTTGGGGGAAAAATGTAGTCATTTTGGCAACGATTTTGAGGCCTAACAGAGAAAGAGATGCTGCTTTGTAGGCTTTATTTTGGATGTAAACAGCCGTTTTTTACGAAGCATGTTGAAAAAGAAGACAAGGATGAGATATTGAAGCTCTCCCCTTCCTACCTTGAATGGGATCAGTCAAGAAATTCCACATCATAGGATAAAAGCCAGTTGATGTTTGGATCAAAATGAAACCATGGACTGACTTGCACATTTGTGTGGAAAGCAGCAGATGCCAAAAGCATAGCTTAGACGAAATGTCTTGGCAGTGTATTGTCTTAATCCACTAAGATCAAGAACCAGCGTGATGTTGATTCGTATGGATTCTGACTCAAGTCACTGTTACTTTTTCTAGGTCCTTAAGAAAATGTCAGATCAGGTTGTCCTCCTAAATGGACAACGTAATTTAGGAATTCATGCAAAGCAATGAAAAGCTGCTGGTTTCTTAATTCCATCACGTTTCTTATATTCTTTTTTAACCAGAAGCAAAAGGAAGAAATTCCATGAGGAGTTACTATAATACTCATTTTTCTTCAATGTAACGTCTGAAATAAGATCTGTGGAATACAACCTGCTGAGTGACTTTCCTGGCAGCTACAGCGCGGTGCTCAGATGTGCCTCATGCAGATCCAAGCAGCCGGGCGTCCCAGCGGCTCTGGCTGTAGACGGAGCGGCAGCAGCGCTCGGGAGCGCCGCGGGGCCGGCGCGCAGCGGACGGACTGTGCCCTGTACGGCAGAGCCGGA